CGGTCCGGGCACACACATTCCTGCCATACCTCAGTGAATGGACATGATTGTTGCAAGTCAGTCAAATGTGTTAAACAGCAGACATCCAACAGCTAAAGTCCCGGGAAATTCACTTACAAAAACTCTTCCCTTTGACAGATTTGAGTAATCCGTGTCAGGATCTCGCTGGGTAAATATGACATACATAATGTTGCTAACTTTGTCGTGTTTTTCAAAGTTTCCTCAGTGGATTCAAATGTAGCGGATGATGTGATCAATGTAACATGTGATGCGTGACTCATGTTTATCAGCTCTCAGCTGGAGTTTAGAAATCTGCATGTGCCAAGCAGGGTTTCTTTACGGACAAGTTTATTTTTCAAATGCAATGGATTACTTAGTAAAGTACAAGTGTAAAGCTTTTCATGTCTGACTGCATAAACTTTATGCATTAACTGAATATATATGCTACGGTTCTATGTTTTGTAATGTTTCATGCTTCCTGTCTGCGATATGGGGTTTTAATAGCTGGCTATAGTGCTTAAATCCATCTGGTGGTTCTATTTTTGGTTTCTCGGGTACGTTTCCCTGTTAACTCCTCCCGTCATTTCGCTTGTGGTACATTGTTGATAATTATTCATATAACTGGTTTGCTTTTTTAGATACTACACAGTAAAATCCCGAGTGTTAAATTAACACTTAATGACTTAACACTTAACGTTAATGAGATAATTATGTGATTAATTAAGTGCTGATTGAGCATTAGTGATGAACACCTGCTGTTAAAAAACAGAATCACTGAAGAAAAGAGAAACAAGAATTACAACTGACTTCAGCCACAGACTTAAGCGGGGCTCACACTGTGCGATTTAAAAAAAAAAAATCCTTTGTATTTGGATTGTACTTGTCAGACTGTACGAACATGATGATCATGTCACACTGTGGGATCTCAGTTGTCATTAATGTCAGACTGTACGATATGGAATGCCAAACCTGCCATAATCAGAAATAAATAAATAAAGAAATGTACAAAGAAATGTAAAAAGCAAATATAAATAAATAAATATACAAAGAAAAGTAAAAAAGCAAAAATAAATAATTATTTATAATTTTATTTCGTTATGTATTTTTTTTCTCCACATTTATTTATTTATACATTTATTTATTTCCACTTTTATTTATTTTCACATTTCTGTATTTATTTACTCATTTATTTATTTATTTCCACATTTATTTTTTTATACATTTATTTATTTTTACATTTCTTTGTCCGTAGGGTAATGAGAAGGGCGTGTTTTACCTCAGGAATAGCAATGGAGCCAGAGTAGGCGAGGGGTAAGCGTTGAGGCCACAGTGACACCTTGTGGTGCCCAAACGAAGTATAAGAAGTGTAGCCTACATGACACGCCTGTTGATAGTGTGGGATGAATGATTTAGATGGGCAATATGG